GTCAAGTGTTAAGGCTTACAAAATCCCAATAATTACAACCCAATAAACTAGGTGAGCTATTTATACAACTTACAAACTTGTTATAAAGTACTAATCGAAACACTTGAGCTCCTTTAGCTACGATCACTTGATCAACCTGTTTAGACAAACTTGACTGCTCACCATTAAGGACAAACCCCAAAATAGATCGTCGGAGGGCCACCATAAGAAAAAGACATGGCCGCAAACACAAGTAGCAAAGCAAACAAACAACACACACGTCAGCAAAAAGCTGAGTAATCACCACTGATCAAAATACAAAGAACAATAGAATAATTAATATAATTAACTCACTTAAACAATTTAGTTCGAAACTACATTACACATATACACCTCAAGGGTAAAATAACTCCGTACTCTGAAAATAACCTTTGTCAAACTCAACCTCAAATAATAATACGATCTTTAACTCAATTAACTCATTTATCCCATAAGTGTGCCACGCTCTTTGTCTTATACCTAGCCTTGGACATGAGTAATTCGAATAAATAAACCAACAAGTATAAAAACTTGAATACTCTCAATAACCAGAAAACACCTTAACCATGACCAATATGGGTCAAATCCCACTGTAGGGGACCATTGAAAAATATAAATAAAGATTGTACCTCATTCTTAACTCATGATCATTATCTCCTTACCAACATGTCAAGGACTAAGGTAATTAACATTGAGCCTCAAACCAAGAACAAAATAATAATTCTCGACCCTTTTGATCTCATACTTGATCAAATAACCATTCACAGGTTAATAAACAATATCTCAATAATGGCACAGGTTCCCAAATTATATAACATGACGTACTCGATTCATATAATATCTCAACACTTACAGGGCAAACATACTAGTTCCCAAATATTATTAACTCACAACCCAAAAATAATACTCTGCAGTAATAACCCTAAAACTTCAATATAACAATACTCCCTAGAACAACAACATGAAAAACCCTAAATATAATAACACAATCAATCAATACAACAATTAAATCATATTAATACAACACACTAATCACATATATATAAATCGATCCTCTAAATAACAAATTATAAAATTTTACACACAATAATACGAAGTACAATCAATACTAACAATCTATAATCAAACAACTCCAAGAATTAAAATTGTGTGATTACCTTTTCGACGAATACCAAAACAACGAGACACAATTTTGAACCAAATATGAAACAATTACTCCAGCACTTCAAGTAGAATGACACGCAAATTGCACAGTGAGTGATGAGCAAAATAATTAAGTCAATCAATTGCACGCCACTCGAAACTCACGTCCAATAATTGATCATGTTAAAATGTAATGGTGTATATGTGCTCTCGTAAAATTTGTATCAAAGGTAAATATAAAAGGCTTGATGCTAAAAGTTTGGGTGAATTCATAAATCAAGGTATTGCTTGATAAGAAAATCAAGGTTCTGATTGTTTCAAAAGCAAAAGTAACGAGTAAACGGCGAAGTAAGAAAATAAATCATAATGCAGTAAAACAATTGATATCTATATTAGGGTTTAAGATAATTTTTATAGGATAACAAAAATAGAGTATAAAAATTCATAAAATAATTTAAGATATCATATTTTATCCATAAAATATATTTGATAAAATCTTTAAATATTAGGGTATTACAATCTACCTTCCTCAAAACAAGTTTCGTCCCCGAAACTTAAAATAGAAAAATTACGGGTATTACAATCTATACTCCTTAAAACAAGTTTCGTCCCAAAACTTAAAACAATAACTTACTCGTAAATTTGATAGAAAGTAAAAACCAAATCAAACTTTTCTTTATAAAATATGGCGAAGGCCATGACCAAGAAAAGACACACAAAAGCACGCAATCAGCAAAGCTGAGTACATAAAAGCTATGAAATATATAACAAAGAGCCCTAGCATGTTACTAAAAATCAATCTGCACACACTCAATACAATAATTGACTAGAACACATGACTCAATTGTTAACATTACTAAGACTTCACTAATTAATAATAAATAATTCATTTCATTTCATAAGTTTGGATTTAATTAAACTGTGGTTTGATTTATTTACTACTTTTATTTAGGTTTTGAATAAGGGACGTAATGGTTCCAACTTGTAAGACTAAATTTTGTTTTGAATTTTGGTTTTGAAACTTATTGATAACTGAGTTAGTTTTTCCGCTGCTAAATTCTGAACTAGGCTTAACGTTTGAACACGTGGCGGTAGCACGTCAGTAATTCTCTTGCAGGTTGTTAAAGGTATTTACAAGTTTTTAAAGAGAGAATTATTGGGGTGTTACAACTGTATCCAGCTGAGAGATCAAATCGAGGATATGGTCCAAAAAGGTTACTTGAAAAAAATATCTCGCGAAGCGCCGCGAAGAGAAAAGAGCCGAGAAAGATTTTCGGCAAGAGCTGGATTTCCCCGGAAAAAGGACAAGCCGCAAGGCAAAGATAATCCTGACATCCTTGTCATTTCCGGAGGAACATACTCTCTGAAAGCATTAAAACACCACTTGAGGGGCTTGACCCATCAAGTAAATCATGTTGACATCCGAGCACCCTAGTCTCTGGTGTCGAACTTCACGTTCACAGCCGAAGACTGCCGGGGGGTGGCATACCCTCATGATGACCCGCTGGTAATCGTTATAGGAATCGCGAACCACAACGTCTAGCGAACTCTCGTCGACGGTGGAAGTGGTGTGAATATCCTTTTTCGGGAGGCATTCGACCAGCTGAAGTTGGAGACCAAGCACCTAACGCCAGTACCCTACCCGAAATCTGGATTCAATGGTTCTTCAACATATCGTGACGGGAAAATTTCTCTTCCTGTCACCATTAGCAAAGACCGAGTAGCCCGGAATATCATGGCCGAGTTTTTGGTCGTGGACGTTCCATCTGTGTACAACGTGAATATAGGGAGACCCATAATTCAAGAGATCCAAGGAGTCGTCCCAACGTACCATTAGATGATGATATATGTCTCGGACGAGGGACGCTCCGAAAGAATTCAGGGCAGCCAAAAGGAGGCCCGAAGATGGAACTACCTCAAGCCATCCAAAAGTCGTCGCGACGACAGGGATGATGAGGAAGAAAGAGAAAAGGATCGATGCACAAAGAAGCCTAAAGGCTTAAGTGCTTCGGCCCAAGGCGCCCCAACACAAGATAAATCTTTGGGGAAAGAAAAAGCTAGTTCCTCATCTGAGCCGAAAGACTCAGAACACCAGCCGAAGTCTGGGAAGCCTGCTGATATTGACAGCAAGCCAGACTGTGAAGATTCCAGTGCCAAAGCCACAGAGCTGGACCATCAGAATGAATCAATAGAGTTGACCGAAGGGGATACTGAAAAATGTGTCAACATCGGGCTCAACCTCAATCCGAGCGTCCGCGTTGAACTTATCCAATTCCTTCGGGACAACAAAGATGTATTCTCTTTCTCGGCAGCAGACATGCCCGGGATTGACCCGAACCTCATCTCCCATAAGCTTAACATCGATCTTACATGTCGACTGGCGAAGCAAAAGAAGCGGAATTACTCTGCGAATAGGAACCAAGACATCGCAGCCGAGGTAAAAAAACTCCTGGATGCAGGTTTCATTGAACCATGTCAGTATCCGGAATGGCTGGCCAACGTGGTGATGGTTCAGAAGGCAAATGGCACCTGGAGGATGTGCGTTGACTTCACGGACCTAAATTTGGCCTGTCCGAAGGACTTTTATCCCTTGCCGAGGATCGATCAGCTAGTCGACTCAACAAGTGGGCATGCCTTGCTTAATTTCATGGACGCATTCTCAGGATATCATCAGATCTTCATGCACCCCGATGATCGAGCAAAAACGACTTTCGTTACGAGCGCCGGGGTGTATAATTACATAATGATGCCCTTCGGATTGAAAAATGCGGGGGCAAGATATCAAAGGCTGGTTGACTAGGTTTTCACCGAGTAAAAAGGCCGCATCATGGAAGTCTATGTTGACGATTCAATCGTCAAAAATAAAGAGGACAAAAACCATGTCGCGGACCTGGCCGAGACCTTCACCCCTCTAAGGAAACACCATATGAAACTAAATCCGAAGAAGTGTGTTTTCGGCGTGAAGTCAGGCAAGTTCTGATGTGTTTATTGTAAGTTATCAAGAGCCAATGTTATTGTATTCATGTGATTTCCCTTATTCAAAAAGTATTTGTAAGAGGTGCATACAGGTAAAGGAATCCCCCTGTTTCTTTAATTTCCCAAAACACTCTTTTTTTCTCGGTCTCGATCTCTTTCTCCTTCCTGTCCTTGCTCCTTTTTAATACCTTCATAAATTCTAAGTCATTCTCCTTCCTTCCTCACTCTTACTTTGAATTTCTTTAGATCTTCATTTTCTAATTCTGCATTTTCATCTTGTAATGTCATTCTCTTTCAGGAATTTTGCAATTATTTGTCTTCTTAACTCTCTACTGTCGTCGTCTCCTCTTTTCCTTCCAAACCTCTTTCTAGAAGTCTTGTCCCACTTAGCTCCTCCCCCTTTGCTAACTCATTCCATCACTCTCCTCTTATGGTTCCATGTCATTCACAAATAAATGAACGACATGTGTATTTTGTGTAATAGATATTAAGCACAACTCACAAATTTGCCATTCAATTTCCAAAAACAAGAGCATTTGGAGTTACCTGATATCTTCACCAAATTCTGTATTAAACTATTTCATTACTCGTATAACAAATATAATTCAGCATTTAATACTTGACCAAAGAAAAAAGTCACAAATACCAACACTTATTAAAACATGGAGGGAGTATAACAAATACAATACAACATTTAATACTCGACCAAAGAAAAAAGGCACAAACACCAAATTAAAATTCCAAAAAAAAAAAATGTGTTTGAACTAAAATTCTACAAAAAATGTAACAAAATACCTAAAGCACTTAAAGCTAACAATATTGTTAAAATAAGCCAAATAGAAGCTAACAAATTTAGAGCTAACTAAATACCTAAAACACTTAATTCTCCTGTTATAATCTATGAAAACCATTTTGGTAACATTAAATTCAAAAGTCCATTCTTTGATGCCCAACATATTCTTGTGTAACTATCATTGCAATTATAAAGTGTATATTAAAATTAATAATAACAATAATAATTTTTTTTTTAAAAAAAAAAAAGCATCCTTCACATGATTAGCCAATAATGTACAACAGGCACAGGAAGAAAACAGGAGCCTGATGCATGGGGGCTGAAGAAATAGCAGGGGCATCTTGAACAGGCTTTGGCTTTGGAGACCTTAATCTGTCCTTAAAGTCTTGAATTGCTGCACTTATGTTCCTCCATTGTCCTGCATTAGCAATGCAAAAAAATAATTCACCACCTAATGGATATTGATATTAGAGAAAAATCCTATCAAATACCGAGTACACATAAGATGCAACAAGTAAAAGATTTAGGGACTATTCTAATCGACATTTGACGGAATGTAAAGTGGGACTACAACTTTTCTTATCTAAAATTATCTGAACATTAGAGTTGGAAGCGCACCTGCTTGATATCTTCATCAGTAAACTGCAACAAGGGTCTGAAGGACTCTGAACCCTTTATTTGGTCCCACATTGTTTATCTACCAAGTATAATTGATAGTTTACAGTAATAATCAATGAATATTGTATGAGATGTAGAGACACATGATAAGTTTACCTTTTCATTTCAAGCTGTAGGTATACATAAAAGAGGAGGCCTAGGTTTTTCGTTTATCTCAATGGAAAATTTGTGATTATAACCCTAGGTTTATGTGCCAACTCAATAAAAAGAATAAAAAATTAAAAAGAAACAGAAATTACATTTTCCTCATGAACTCACACCGTTAACATACTGTGGAGTTGCTGATTCTTTCTCTCACCTTCCCTCCATGGTTACCTATATATCTTATGGAGAAAGCTTAATATAATGAAGAAATAAGAATTAGATGATCATCAGGAACAAAAATAGAATTAGGGTAAAGGGAGTAAAGACAGGAGTGTGAAACAAAGAGGAAAAAAATAAAAGAAAACATGAAAAGAAGAACTACTTCCATGAAAGAAGACAGCAAAAGCAAGACTCCATCTTCAATGTTTTCTTAATAGCCGTGAGCTATGTGAAATTTGAATAACCCAGAAAGGTCTTGATAAAATTCCGGCTCGCCGTCGAATTTAGAGAAAAACCCTATGAAAAATATGGATAATAAGGGAATTGTTAACCCTAAAGGGATGGGTGTTTATTATGGAGGGTTTTCAAAAATGGGGGAGAGAGAAATCATGAAGAAAGATCTTCATCAATGGAGGATAGAGAACCAACTGCAAGCTTGCCTTTTTTTACCGGTTATTAACTTCATAAAACCGGTTAAGGACCATTTGGAGAAGATATATGACAAAGGTTGGATTATTGTGAGAATATTGAAAGATGGGATTATTTTGAGCAGACCGGTAAAAGGTGGGATTATTAGTTTCAATATTCCCTTTAAAAAAAACAGTCACCTAAAAATCTGTTTATGATTATATTTGTGGCATAATGCAGAATATAGGAGAAGTAGATTGCGGTACTTACCTGCATTCAACGATGATGGTTTTTCAGTATATACTTTTCAATCAAGGGAGAGAATACAACTTTAGCGCCTTCTGCTCCTATTATTTTCTTCAGCTTCATCAGTGGTTTTTCCTACCTCATTAGCTCAAAGGGTTCCATATCATAAATCCATCTTCCCTACACGAACAAAATAAGAATGAAAGTTAGTGTTGTGAGTGATAAGTTTTAAGCGCAATTCATCTTCTGAGGGTTAGGGGTGGTCATAGTTTTAAAGCTCTCATAATAGAGCCAAATAACTAACAATAGATCAAAGCATTAAGGATAGTCCACGTGGGAAGGAACCAGAGAACAGTCAATAGGATTCACAAATGCCTCGAAACCTTCTTCCACCTTTTCTAGCTTAAATTCAAATAAACAGTGAGAGCATCTCAAAACACATAATAATTCACAGTAAATCATGAGTCTAAATCCGACTGGTTTTGGTTCGAGTTATTATTCACTAATATATTGATAGCATGCGTAATGCATAATTTAATAATTGGAGACAATTCTAGACTTCAATAAACACATTTGTGCACTATTATGATTAATCTTAGCATCATATATGTAGATAGATTTAAATTAACCTCACAACTAATTACACAATGGTGAAAACAGAGGAACTAATTGTTTAAAGCTCCAAACATGTGAAATCAAAAATCATACCTTTTAAGAGAAAATCTTCTTCTCAAATCTGCTAATGATCTCACCAACCTACATATTATAAAAAGTGATTTCAGAATCGTAACAAACAAGCTGACACTAAAATCTTCCTCATATGAGGAAAGTTGCTGCACATATAAACAAATATTTTCCGACAAGAATTAAGTTTGGAAAACAATGTTTACAAGAAACTGGAAAATGTTTAAGAAAAAGAAAATTAGAATAACCTACATACATAATATTGCGGTCATCAGGATGCAAGACAATGTCACCGCTGTCAAAACCATTTACTATACCTAAAATGGCATAAATAACATTGCAAGCTATAAGTTATTAAGAAATCATGAAAAAAGCATTACGTTCCATGAGGCATCGTGAAGAGCCTGATATTTTTCTCTGACCTTCCCCTGAAAATCAAGAGGCTCGTATCTTTTATTACCATAACCACCTCTTTATGCAACTTTCCGCATTTTTAAAAAAGATATTAGGATATGCTTTGACTTGATTGTTTACACATATTTAACAATAGATACACCTTAATTTTTATCAAATATAATAATTAATTGTAACTTGTATAACCTTCTTTCAATTAAGGATCATGATAAATAAAAATGGAAAGTAATACACCAATTGGCATACTTGTTCAACTTAGTGCATTAGAATTGTGCAGTCTAATGCAAGCTAAAAAAAAAAAAAAAAAAACTAAGATTTGGTTGAACAGCCAAGTCTCATATCTTACCAAACAAATTGTACGTCCCATAAATTCTTATTCGTGAAACTTAAGGCAAAATTCCTATAATGCCTATTCAACAACCAATGTTTTTGCAAATAATATCCAAATTCCAAAGCTTGCTTTTTGAATGAAGGTATACCTCTGGTGATATATCAAGGTATAAGACCATGTCTGGAGCCAGCAATCCCATCTCTAGTGCCTGCACAAAGAGAAATATGGTCATATTGCAATCAAATAGCAATATGCCTGAGTGAAGTGGTTGATTACTAAGAGTTGGAATCTTCAAATCAAGTAGTCAACATAAATCACACTTGTTTAGGGTAAAAATACCCCTGTCCACATGGACCAACTGCATGCTGACACGTGTCATCATCAGAGAGGTTCTAATAGAACCAATCCTCTAGTGACACGTGGCACTCTAACCTATGAAAGGAGAATTGATCTCCTCTCACTATAAATAGAGGAAAATCCTCATTTATTACACATTCATAAATACACACAAAAAACCCGAGCAATATTAATTGCAGAATTCTCTCGAAATCCGAGAGAAAAACCCTTACATTCCGCACTTTTATACATCCGGACACGTTCTAACTTGATCGTCGGTGGCGGAACTCCACCCAACCGGAGTTTCCGTGGTTTTGCAGGTACAGACGGTCGACGCGCATTCTTAGTGATTAGGGGATTTTTCCTCACCAATCACCATCTGACAAGTGGACCAATCAGGTTCCGCCATGTGTCCGTCACATGGGCCAACAGGAGCCTGCCACGTGTCAAGCAATGATCCGTCCACCATGGACCAATTACGACACGACACGTGTCCTTCCCATGACACCTGGGATAACCGGTCACCTAGGCCCAACTCCGGAGGGAAGCCTAATCAGCCCAAGGTTAACCTAAACCTAGATTGACACGTTTCCCGAGGTTATAAATACCTCCCTTAATCCTCATTAAGGGGGAGAACATGCAAAAAACGCAGATTACACACATTAAACACTCTCACCTAGAGAGACCCAATCACTTTAATTTCCGCATTAATTACTCCTTAATCAAGTACTAACTTGACCGTTGGAGGCGGAGCTCCCACCACCAGGAGTCTCCGTTGTTTTGCAGGTACAGACGTCCGGTTCCAGTCTCGGAATTGTAACTCTCCCGCAGGACATCAGAAAACCCCGAAACATTTGGCGCCGTCTGTGGGGAGAGTATTTCAGAGATGGCATCCACGTTTGTACCGACTCCTGAAGAGAGACGTCCCCTGGACGACCCTCTAGTTCAGTCGGACCACGATACTGAGAATGAATTTGAAGTTGAAGCTCACACAGCTTCAGACGGGACCCTAAGGGCCCGACGTACCCGTCATACAGAAAGGAGGGAACGGGAACATCTTCAAACAGGAAGCGAGCCAGCAGGCGCACCGCCTGTTCGGCAGCAGCCGACTGATGGGTCTGCTCCCATCACAAGGAACGAACTCATGACCTTCATGAGGGACTTCAAGGGAGAAATTCAAGAGTTGATCAACAAGAAGCCGCCTGCTCTGGACAAGGAGCAGTTGGCTAAGAAACCCTCCACTTCACAGAAGAGGAAGCCAGTTTAAGGGCGAGAGGCGACTCCTCATCCTAAATCTAGGAAGCGGGAGCCGACTGCCCTTGATTTCACAAAATACCGTTTTCCTACTCCAGGAACTAGGAAACCTGTTCGTCATATTCAGGCGGACGGGTCGAGGAAAACATACACAGACGCTCGGCTACTGCTAGAGCAGAAGAAGAGTGACCGATTGTCAGAGTCGGCCTCTACTTTAAACTTCCAAGACAGTCTGCGAAATACCTCGATGAGGCATACTTAGTCGTATCATGAGAGTCAGTCAGGCGACACCTCCCGTCAGTCCGGCTATCATAGCGACCAGGCGGTACCAAACTTACCGTTTGTACCGCAACAACAGTATTTTTTACAGCCACCTCCGTTTGGTGGACATGCAGCAAAAAATGTCCAACCTATGGACTGGCAGTTACGGTTGCTTAGACTTGGTGAACAGCCGTCGGCCTTCTCCAAGGAAATTACTGAAGCCGCTCAGCCGGCCAGAGTGAAAAATGTATTAGTAGGCGCCTATGACGGCACTACTAACCCAGAAGACCATCTGATGGCATTCACCAACCTGATGTACCTTCAAGGGTTGGATGATCACACTTGGTGCAAGTGTTTCCCAGCGACTCTCAAAGGAATCGCACAACAATGGTTCGGCAACCTGTCGACTGGTTGTGTAAATAACTTCAGAACGCTTGCTTACTTATTCACCTCCAACTTCGCCATGAACATCCCTGCGAAGAAGACGACCCTTGATTTAGGAACAATTCAGCAGGGCGAGAAGGAGGGGCTTCGTTCTTACATCAGGCGGTTTAACCTGATGAGAATACAGATTCAAGGGTTACCGGATGAAGTAGCCTATACTGACTTTTTCAGAGGTCTCAAAGACGGGTCGACCTTCAAATTTGATTTGGTCCCAAAGAGGGTGGCGACTCTTCAAGAGGCCTTGATTGAAGCGGAAGCCTATATACAGGCGACTGATCTTTGTACGGTAAAACAGTCAGACGGGAAAAGGTCCGAAAAAAGAGAAGGACGACAGAAACAGTCGTCAAACAAAGACGAGAAGAGAAAAGAGGTCTGGGCGGCTGATTCCTCTAAACAGCCGGCCCAGAAAAAGAAAATAGAATTCAAACCATACTCCCCAAAGTATGCGTTTAACAAGGATAGCCAGTTTATCCTAAAGGAAATCAAGGGACGGATCTCAATTGAGAAGCCGGTCCCCATGAAGGGTTCTGCAAACAACCGGAACCAAGATAAATTATGTGCTTATCATGAAGATGTTGGTCATCACACCAATGACTGCATCAGTCTCATGCGGTATCTGGACCGCCTGGCTGAGCAAGGTGATCTTGACACTTATGTCAAGAAATCTACGGGGAACACTTCCTCAAAAAAGCAGTCGACCAAAAAGAATCAACAGGCCGACAGCTCCGATACAGATGATGCAGTCGTCTACACCATTGCAGGCGGCTTCTCAGGAGGCGGCCCCACTATTAGGGGTAACAAAGACAATATCAGACGGTTAGATGTAAATTCCGTTCACCAAGAACGGCCCTCTAAATATTCATTTCCTGAGATTGTCATCACTGAAGAAGATCTAGGAGGGGTAAGAGGGCCGCATGACGACCCTATCGTTATTGAATGTAAAGTGGCCAACCAGAGAGTTGGCCGAATCCTCATAGATACCGGAAGCTCCTCAGATCTCATCAGTAGCAAATGTCTGTCGAAACTAAAATATCAGACTTATTGCATACATCCGGCATCCCACCCTTTAGTAGGGTTTGGAGGAGGATTCGTCCACCCAGTGGGACGAGTGGATTTACCCATCCGCCTGGGCGAAAAAGGGGAAGGACGACACATGGTAGTCCAGTTCTTGGTAGTAAAAGAACTCTCGGCCTACAACATGATTCTGGGACGACCAACCCTGAATAATTCCAAGGCTGTTATAATCCCATCTCTTATGTTGCTCAAGTTTGAGAGGGATAATGGAACAGTCGGGTCCCTAAGGGGAGATCAGAGGATGGCCCGAGAGTGTTATCTCTCGGATGTCAAGCCCACTGTTATGGCCACTGGGTCGAGTGGTGGAAAAATAGACCTTGACAATGTCAAGGAGAGTGCGCCTGTTCAAGAAGCAGGCGGCAAGAAGAGAAAGGCATCCCAGACAGGGGCCGCACGAAAAGACAGAAAATAGCAATCATTGGCAGAGGAGCGGTCGGATGAATTCCGCCCTCAGCCGGCTGGTGAGCATACGGACTTGATCTTAGACGATTCACGTCCTGAGCGAACAGTCAAAGTTGGGACGACTACTCTAAGAGTCTTGGGTGACGACTTTCACAAACTATTGAAAGAATACAAGGACATCTTTGCATTCGAAGTCCATGAAATGCCAGGCATTAGTCCTGATCTGGCGGTACATAAACTGGTCGTGGATCCGAAAAAGAAGCCGGTACGGCAGAAGAAGCGGAACCATGGCGAAGAAAGAAGTCAGGCGGCAGCCGCCGAAGTTAAAAAATTACTTGATGCAGGGTTCATTCGGCAATGTTACTTCCCAGACTGGGTTGCAAATGTGGTGCTTGTTAAAAAGCTGAATGGCACCTGGCGAATGTGTGTAGACTACACAGACTTAAACAAGGCGTGCCCCAAAGACAGTTACCCTCTGCCTAAAATTGATAACCTGGTCGACTCAACAGCCGACCATGATTTGATGAGCTTTATGGACGCCTACTCTGGTTTCCATCAAATTCCTTTATGGAAGAAAGATCAGGAGAAGACGGCCTTCGTCACTGATCAGGGGTTATATTGTTACACGGTCATGCCGTTTGGTCTTAAGAATGCCCCGACCACTTTCCAGCGAATGATAAACACTGTGTTCTTTGATCAAATTGGGAGAAATGTCGAGGCATATATTGATGATATGATTGTCAAGTCAAAACTTCAGAAAGATCAGCTGTCGGACCTCCGAGAAACTTTCGCCACACTCAGGCGGCACCATGTCATGCTCAATCCCAAGAAATGTGTCTTTGGAGTTGAGTCTGGGAAATTTCTCGGATTCCTTATCAATCAGAGAGGAATAGAGGCGAACCCTGAGAAGGTGCAGGCGGTCATTGACATGCAGTCGCCTCGTTCCATCCGAGAGGTTCAGAAGTTAACAGGATGTCTGGCGGCCTTGGGAAGATTTCTAAGCCGATCAGGCGACAAATGCCTATACTTTTTCCAGGCAATTAAGAAAAAGGCAAGGTTTGAATGGGGGCCGGATGCTGAGGCCGCCTTCCAGAAATTGAAAGTTCACTTGCATTCCTTGCCGAGGCTGGTCAGCCCTTTGCCCAAAGAAGTACTCTACATGTACCTGGCCGTCTCTGATCATGCGTTAAGCGCTGTTCTCCTTGCTGAAAGAGACGGTTGTCAGCTCCCGGTCTACTTTGTCAGTCACGTACTGAAAAATGCCGAGTTGAGGTATCCCTTAGTGGAGAAATTTGGTCTTGCACTCTTCATGGCTGTTAAAAAATTGAAGCCCTACTTTTTAGCATATGCAGTCGTCGTGTATACAGACCAACCTATCAAGCGGCCACTGACCATCATGGAGTCGTCAGGCCGAATGATCAAATGGGCCATAGAAATTCAGAGCCTCGAAGTTACTTTCGAGCCTAGAAAAGCAGTGAAGGGGCAAGCCTTTGCTGACTTTATTGTTGAGATGACTCGTCCTCCGGACTCTCATGTTACAGACCAAGTCTGGAAGGTATATGTGGACGGAAGCTCTACTTCAAATGGTTGTGGAGCAGGCGTCATATGTCAGTCGCCAGAGGGCGACAGGTACGAGTATGCTTTACGCTTCAGTTTTCAGGCCTCAAACAATAAGGCAGAATATGAAGCTTTACTAGCCGGAATCCGCATGTGCAAGGCGGCAG